TCTTTCAGCGCGCTCTTCAATCCGCACTCCGCAGACCGCAGCGGTGCAGCGCGAGCAGGCTCAAACAGAAACAGAGGACACAAGGTGTGTGTTTATCGATAGATTGTTATATTATGTGTATCTGTGCAGTTCTTTGTCATAAATAGTTTACAAAAGGTCACGATTTTCGCTGCGTTTACCCCTCATCACACCACAGCTGTTTCCTCCAGCGAAAATTTAGCCCTCAACACATATGAATGCATACTTTATAAAACTATCATGTTGCTATTTTCATTTGAAAATTTTATATTTAATATATAACATATTACAGTACATGTGGCATAGGCCTACCACACAGTCATTCACAGAACTGATTAAATACAGTGACAGACAGCACTCAGTCAATTCACTCATTTTAACTAAATATCAGAGTGATTGACAGAGATACAGGAGAAACATTATGTGTGGTTTTGTATTAAATATTGTTTTGTATTAAATAATGACCCAGATCGTGAAATACATTTATTAGCCTTAGAGTAAGGGAAGCACAACTCGGGATATGAGAGCATCCGAGGAGCATGTGAATGCTATGTGTATTTATTTAAAATATTTGTAATGTTCTTTAATGTTATCCATAGTTTTTTTTTTGTGGCTCTTTTTTTTTAAGTATCGGTTCAGGCACCGGTACCGTTTTAAAAGTATCGATTTGGCACCGGTATCGTAAAAAACCCAATCGTATATTTATTTTAAATATTTGTAATGTTCTTTAATGTTATCCATCGTTTTATTTTTTGTTGCTCTTTTTTTAAAGTATCGGTTCAGGCACCGGTACCGTTTTAAAAGTATCGATTTGGCACCAGTATCGTAAAAAACCCAATCGATACCCAACCCTAATAGATAGATAGATAGATATAATTAACATAGTGAAGACTAAATAATTTACACAATGTATGTAGAGTTTCTTATTTATTGTAGTTTTTTGTCCTATTGCTTACAATTAGTTTCATATCCTTATTTCATCACTGACTGTTTATTTATCTTCAGTGAGTTTGAGTTTTTAGGCTTGTATTAGTTTGATATCGACATTGGTGACAAGGATTATGAAAATTCTATGGTATCAAAGATTTTAATATCATGAATATACCGTGATATAAAATCAGTCATATCGTGATAAACAATTTTGTTCATTTCGCCCACCCCTAGTCCTTGGTATGAACAGGCCTTAACTCGTATACCTAATTACTTAATGTTGAGTTTATACATTATACATATTAAGTTTTTGTATAGTATAATGTATAAAGTTTTTGTATTATGCCTCAATCAGTCAAGGTCATGTGTGCAAGTTAGCATTTGCTTGTCAACAGGTCCTGGAGTCAGTGGTGAAGAACTGTGGCCAGACAGTTCATGATGAAGTGGCTAGTAAGCAGACAATGGAAGAGCTAAAGGAGCTGTTCAAGGTGACTCCTGCTGAACTCAACCTATAATCTGTGACTGTTGCTTTAAGGGTTGTCTTTGGCCCTGCCTTTATGATCTTTCCAAGTGGGTCAGACCCAGTGACTCAGCTGCACTGTACTTCCTGATTGTGTCATCGTCACATGTTTATTTGGCTGAGGGAAGTTCAGAAACAACACACTGTTCTTGGAGTTCTTTTGCTTTCTAACATTTAAGAATCTCTTAGAAGGTTTTGAGGTGGTTAAAGAGAGACTAGATATTTTTCTGTTCTCTCTCTCTCTCTCTCTTTTTTTTGTTTACTAACCGGTTAGGCAACTCCTGAGTTCTGACTTCACAGCTTCGATATTGTTTTTTAAGTCATCACTGAAAGAATGTGACTCTTTTGTGTTTAGAAACAACCCGAACTGAACGTGAAGAACAAGATCCTTTATCTGATCCAGGCCTGGGCCCACGCCTTCCGCAACGAGCCCAAGTACAAAGTCATCCAGGACACCTATCAGATCATGAAGGTGGAAGGTAAGGCTTTACGCAGATTCGTAAACATGAAATACATTTCTAAAGGGTGTTTACACATACAGTGATTTGCAGAACCAGAATGGTATGATACATTATGCACTGCTGCAAGTTATATATACAAATACTTTCCAATGCACAATGTACAATTTAATCGCAAAAATACTTCATTTTCAAATGTCAGTAAAAATAAGATGTCAATCTGTGAAACTTTTTAAAAGAAAAACAATCTCTTCTACTCGCTCAGGTCATGTCTTCCCAGAATTCAAGGAGAGTGATGCCATGTTTGCAGCAGAAAGGGTGAGAATAACGGTTGAGTAAATCAAGTACATTTTTGCACACTCTGAGATGTTTGGTTTGTCATGGGTTTGTCGTGTTTCTCTTCCAGGCTCCTGATTGGGTGGATGCAGAGGAGTGCCACAGATGTAGGGTTCAGTTTAGTGTTATGACCCGAAAGGTATATACTGCTCTTTTATAATCTATCTATATCATGTTTATGAAGTACCATATACAAGGCAATTTTTATGATGCATAACTGCTGGTGGCTATTCATTCAGCACCACTGCAGGGCATGTGGGCAGATTTTCTGTGGGAAGTGCTCTTCTAAACACTCTACCATTCCCAAATTTGGCATTGAGAAGGAGGTGCGTGTGTGTGAGCCCTGCTTCGAGCTTCTCAACAAGTGAGTATATGTGAAAAAGAAAAATACCTACCATTGTGCTGCTTTTTTTGTTCTTTGAGAAGGGTATTCACCTTACAAAGGAATAGTTCATACAAAAATAAAATCTCTCTCATTATTTATTCACCCAAACCCATCTGACTTTCTTCTGTGTACCACAAAAGGAGGTTCTGTTTTTTAAAGAATGCAGCATTACAGCTGGAACAGAAATAAATTACATTTAAAAAAAATACATTAGAATAAAATAATTCTTTTAAATTGTAATACTATTTCACATTTGACAATATTACTGTTTTGCTATATTTTTTCAATCAACTTAAAGGGTTAGTTCACCCAAAAATGAAAATTAGCTTGTGTTTTACTCACCCTCGAGGCATCCTAGGTGTATATGACTTTCTTCTTTCAGACGAATCCAATCGGAGTTATATAAAAAATTCTACGTGTTATCATTGCAGTGGGTGGGTGTTTCTGTTCAACAGTCCAAAACTTGTTAAATAAAGTGAGCGCATCCGTAATAAAACGTGCCTCACATGGCTCCAGGGGGTGAATAAAGGCCTCCTGTAGCAGATCCATGTGTTTTTGTAAGAAAAATATCCATATTTCATGTGATATGACATGATATTTCCCCCCATTTTAAATTCTTATTATCCAAAGAAAGGTTAGATTTTTGTGATTTTTAAAAAATAAAAGATCAAAAGGATTAACAATGCAGATTAATTTTCACAGCCTTCTTTGATCATATTTACCAAGGGTGCCGATATTTTTGGCCATGACTGTGTGTGTGTGTATATATATATATATATATGTATCTTTTATATTTAGACAAAATTAAATAGAAATGAAAATAGTTTGCACATGTCATCTTGAAGTCAGAAAAGGAAGAATGTTGTCTGTGGTATATTTTCACTGCAAAACAACAACAAAAAAAGATCAGACATTGCTGCAAATTTGGAGAAAAGCCACCACAAGTTCTGTCATTTTATGATGCAAAAATCAGAAAAAAAGTTCTACAAAAAGAGATATGGAAGAAAAATAATGCCATATGTCTTTGAAACAAAAAAGCACGTTGAATAGCACTAACTGAAAAAATAATGAATTGCATTAACAGTCCTTGCATTTTAATGCCTTGTATTTCCAGGGCTTGCATTTTTAAGTCCTGAAATTTAACATAGTTGTTTATTTAAGCTGTGAATATTTCAATTCAAAATATTTCACACACATTTTCACAATTAAAAATTAAATAATTCATATTCACCTTCCAGAATTCACTTCCAAAATATTCAGTCTTTATTTATCTATATTATACACGATGTTTAATATTCCACTGGCAAATTTCGGTCCATTTTATTTCACTTTCCAAATTCGCTTCCACAAATTCAGTGGTTAAAATTCAGCAGAAAATTCGGCATTGCACATCTGGGAGCTGCAGGAATAGCAGTAGAGCACTGATGCATGATCTCCAGCTG